AAATCAGAAAATCGACAAAAAATATTCCGAAATGGCTCAAATAATATGTATTTCATATAACTATTTGATACCAATGGTATTCATTCATTTATTTCGATTTTAACTTTTTTCACCATTATAATATCATTGAAAAATTGAATCAATATTCATAAAAAATCCAAATTGCTCGTAAATTACACAAAAATGGTTTAAATATTCCACGTTGCTATGTTAAGCCAAACAAATTTCAATCATATCATTAAAACATGATTTTTTGGAATTTTTCCCAATTTTTTCCGAAAATATTAATATATTAAAAAAATCGAAAAATATTCATAAAAAAATCAAATATCAATATAAATCACCCAAACATACATCGAATGATAGCTAATTTTTATTACTATCAATAAAAAATAAAATATCATTGATATTTTCAACGTTGATTTTTTTATGAATATTTTTCAATTTTTTCAAAAATATTAAAAAATCTAAACATATTCATAAAAAATCAAATATCAACGTAAATTACCCAAACATGCATCAAATGATAGCTATCAATAAAAAATAAAATACCATTGATATTTTCAACGCTTATTTTTTTATGAATATTTTTCCAATTTTTTATTATTTTTTAATCGAAAAATATTCATAAAAAAACATGCACGTAAATTACCCATTTATGCCTTAAAAGATGTCTAATTTTTACTACTATTAAAAAAAAATAAAATAACATTGATATTTTCAACGCTGATTTTTTAATGACGTGGCTGCACGTGAAGTAATGCGTTGCAAATTCGGCAAAAAGATACATGTTGGGTATCTTTGTCGACTTTAAGGGAGCCTTTGACTACCTTTGTTGGTCAAGGGAGCCTTTGACTACCTTTGTTGGACTGGAGGAAGTGGGGTGTCAGGAGATAAAGCTTTGGGAAAGCTACTTCTCCGATCGGATGGCGTGTTCCGTTGGTGCCTCCAACGTGGTAAATATCGATGTTGTATGCGGTTGTCCACAGGGATCTATTTGTGGTCCATACATATGGACCTTATTATGGATCCCCTGTTGCGAGAACTAAGTGCACATTGTAAGGTATGTGCTTACGCGGATGATTTGCTCATTCTGGTGGAAGCTCAATCTCGTTCTGAGATGGAACAGTTGGGTGCCAGAATGATGTCTATCGTCGGGAGTTGGGGCACCACGGTTGGTGTCCATGTTGCCCGGGAGAAGACTGTGACAATGCTGCTGAAAGGTAGGTTGTCCAGTAACCGACATCCCAGTGTTGTGTTTGACGGTCGTGGTCTCCTTTACAAACCCGACGTCAAATACTTGGGCATATCCATGGGCGAGAGGATGAATTTTATCCCTCACCTGGATCGCCTCAAGGAGAAGATGTGTAGCATTGTCGGCCCCGTTAGACGTATTTTACGTTCGGGCTGGGGACTTAGCAGATGTGCGATGCGGGTGGTATATGGTGGTCTGTTTGTTGCCTGTGCAACATACTGTTCTCCCATATGGCATACCGCCGTGACGGGGTACGGGTATCGAAAGATACTTTCGTGCCAGCGCATAATGATACTTGCGTGCATACCTGTATGCCGCACAGTATCCACCGATGCTATGCAGGTGTTGCTGGGCGTACCCCCTCTTGATCTAGAAGTGATACGTGCAAATGTATCATTTTTAGTCAAGAGGGGATTGCCCATAGTGCCCACTGACTGGGCAGTGGTAGGTATTGGTAGTTTAAGTGCCCTCGAACGCAAGTACAGGCATGGTTCCCTCAATGCATTCTTGCATAGAAGGAACCCCTCTGACACCGAGACGTGTAGATGTGGGGCTCCAGTCAAAGACTGGCTGCATGTCCTGTGCGAATGTCCTCTCTACGAGGACCTCAGGAGCCTGGAATCCATGGGAATCAGCCATGCTGATGACCAATGGGACGTTAGTCGTGCGTTCTCGACTAGTGCAACTCGTGCTAGGCTCGGGGAGTTTGCTGCTGCAGTTTTCCGACGTCGAAGGGCGTTGGACTAGACGCGTAGCGGAGACACATGAGTGTCTGAAGGGTCACTAGTGCCCTAGTCATTGACTAAATACTAGTACCGGCCGGAGGTTGTCCGGAACCACGGGTGTCAGGAGCCCCTGAAACAGAGGTTTCAGCCTGATGATTGGGATTGGCCCTATAGGGTGCAATGTGGTGGCTGTTGTTAGCCCAAAAATTTCGCGGGAAGAGCTTCGGCTCGATGTGAAGGTGCATTATCAACCGGGTGCCTGAACCATAGAAAGGCAGAGGTTTAGGTAGTCCTCGACTTCTCACCAAGGAGGAAGTGAAGCTTTGCGGCGGTTCTCCGAATTGGTACCGGCGGATTGGCTTCAGAATGCTCGTTGAGTACTCTGGGCTTTTCCAATGGGGCGCTGGTCGACGTTCAATTTTGATACCCAATGGTGCAAAATGGTTAAAGCCGTTAAGGCGGGAGTCGTGTAAAACCCACAGGATTCATATCTTTCAGCAAGTTATTTCCGGGATAGGAAGGCTTGTGTCGAGCCAGTGCTTCGGTCTGGAGGGATGTGCAGCGGGGTTGCCCACAGGGTTCCATTTGTGGTCCATACATATGGAATCTTATGATGGATCCCCTGTTGCGGGAGCTAGCTGCCTCCTTCAAGGTCTGTGCGTATGTGGATGACTTGCTCATCATGATTGAAGGGGATAGTCGCCTTGAACTGGAAAATCGTGGTGAGCAAGGTATGCAGATTGTGCAGGCTTGGAGTGACCGAGTTGGAGTGGAGGTGCCCACTGAGAAGACGGTGCTGATGCTGCTGAAAGGCAGATTGGCACGCAGTCGTCCTTCCTGCATTCGAGCTGGTGAACGCGGCATAAGGTAATCGTGTACTGTTAAATATCTCGGTCTCTTCAAGAAACTTGTATCTTTCAGATACTGTCCCTATTTTTCCTACAAGTGAAATAAGAATTCACCGTAAATTACCCAAAGTCTATTGAAGAACATTGTTTCTTCAATAGACAATTCTTCTGAATTAATTTTGAATTCTTTTTCCTTCATTCAGTAATATGAGCCTGTGAAAAAATTATAAAAAATCAGAAAATCGACAAAAAATATTCCGAAATGGCTCAAATAATATGTATTTCATATAACTATTTGATACCAATGGTATTCATTCATTTATTTCGATTTTAACTTTTTTCACCATTATAATATCATTGAAAAATTGAATCAATATTCATAAAAAAATCCAAATTGCTCGTAAATTACACAAAAATGGTTTAAATATTCCACGTTGCTATGTTAAGCCAAACAAATTTCAATCATATCATTAAAACATGATTTTTTGGCATTTTTCCCAATTTTTTCCGAAAATATTAATATATTAAAAAAATCGAAAAATATTCATAAAAAAATCAAATATCAACATAAATCACCCAAACATACATCGAATGATAGCTAATTTTTATTACTATCAATAAAAAATAAAATATCATTGATATTTTCAACGTTGATTTTTTTATGAATATTTTTCGATTTTTTCAAAAATATTAAAATATCTAAACATATTCATAAAAAATCAAACATCAACGTAAATTACCCAAACATGCATCAAATGATAGCTATCAATAAAAAATAAAATACCATTGATATTTTCAACGCTTATTTTTTTTATGAATATTTTTCCAATTTTTTATTATTTTTTAATCGAAAAATATTCATAAAAAAACATGCACGTAAATTACCCATTTATGCCTTAAAAGATGTCTAATTTTTACTACTATTAAAAAAAATAAAATAACATTGATATTTTCAACGCTGATTTTTTAATGAATATTTTTCCATTTTTTATTATTTTCCAAAAAATGGCAAAAAAAAACACCAAAAATTCAAAACTCATCGTAAATTACCCGTCGGTGGCATAAAATATTGCTTTTACATTGGGCTATTTTATGCCATTCGAATTTCATCAAATTTCCATGTTTTAAATTTTTTATGAATTTTTTTCGAATATTTTTCATGTATAAATATTAATAAAAAATTCATAAAATATTCAACTTGGTCAAATTTGATGATTTTCCTCTATAAATCAATGTAAAATGACTATCTACATTATCCCTGTCAATTTCATGAAAATCCAATCATAATTGAATATTTTAGAAATAAAATAAATTTTTAAATTTACCCATTTTCGTTAAAAATTGCTTTATTTTCGAGGAAAAAAAATAATTTTTTTTTTTTTTTTTTTTTTGAGAAAAAAATTTTATTCATTTAAAATAAGTTACCCATTATTCCAACTAAAATGAATAAAAAATCTTGTTCCAAAAATTCCATTTCGTTAATTTTTTATTAAGGTTTTTCTTCAAAAACAATCCCTCTTTCACATTTTAATGTGCCGCACTATGAAACTATCTATAGGTATGATGGCTGTCATGAAAATGTGGTCACATACCGTAGTCATCACAACTCATTGAAACATTAAGAACGATGACTGAAATCACCATTAGAGTGGTTGAAAGTGGTTTGTTCATGTTATACGATGAGTTTTGCGATGAATTAACGCTTCGAGTGGGTATGGATGTCGCAGTATTTCCGTCAGCTAGTAATAGTTGAATGCGATTGCTGTGGTTGGTAGTATTCATTCACTATAAGCGGGTACGTTTGTGCAGTGCGTACAATTGTCTTTATTCATGGTTATCTTCCTACTATTACAAGCATGTTTCATTAAGTTGAGACGTTGACTGTTTGAATGGTAGGGAGCGAGTTTCTTTGCATAGTACGATGTGAGGAGTCTCGTTAAACAAATGTGTGATTTTTAAAAATGTTTATCCAAATGGTTAAACGAAAATATGAAATTCTTAATTTCATATCAATATCAAGTGTAGTAAGTTGAAAAACCTATTATGCTGCGATGTTAAAAGTAATTTGAAATAAATTGCTAAAAATATTGAGAAAAATACCTCCAATATACTTTTTGAACAAATTACGCGAAAACGATATCATTCAATATTTGGTGACTCGTTTCGTTGATTTTTCATTAAGTTGTCGATGGAAAAACATACAATAAAACATTATTCTGGTTGATCCTGCCAGTAGTTATATGCTTGTCTCAAAGATTAAGCCATGCATCTAGGACTACCATGGTTGCAACGGGCAACGGGGAATCAGGGTTCGATTTCGGAGAGGGAGCCTGAGAAACGGCTACCACATCTAAGGAAGGCAGCAGGCGCGTAAATTACCCACTCCCAGCTCGGGGAGGTAGTGACGAAAAATAACAATACAGGACTCATATTAGAGGCCCTGTAATTGGATTAAGTACACTTTAAATCCCTTAACAAAGACCTATTGGAGGGCAAGTCTGGTGCCAGCAGCCGCGGTAACTCCAGCTCCAATAGCGTATATTAAAGTTGTTGCGGTTAAAACGTTCGTAGTTGAACTTGTGCTTCATACGGGTAGTACAACTATAATTGTAGTTTGTACTATACCATAGGTATGTAAGCGTATTATCGGTGGAGTACCTATCATGCATAGGTACAAACATAAATACAAGTACCTATGCATGATAGGTACTTGTATTTATGTTTGTTCCTCCTATTTAAACCTGCTTCAGTGCTCTTCATCGAGTGTTGTTGTGGGCCGGTACAATTACTATGAACAATTTAGAGTGCTTAAAGCAGTCTTGGACCGTCGTAAGACTAACTTAAGCGAAAGCATTTGCCATAGATGTTTTCATTAATCAAGAACGAAAGTTAGAGGTTCGAAGGCGATCAGATACAGCCCTAGTTCTAACCATAAACGATGCCAGCTAGCAATTGGGTGTAGCTACTTTTATGGTTCTCTCAGTCGCTTCCCGGGAAACCAAAGCTTTTGGGCTCCGGGGGAAGTATGGTGGCAAAGCTGAGACTTAAAGGAATTGAATTGGAAGGGCGCCACCAGGAGTGAAGCCTGCGGCTTAATTTGACTTAACACGGGAAAACTTACCAGGTCCGAACAGTGGTGCATGGCCGTTCTTAGTTCGTGGAGTGATTTGTCTGGTTAATTCCGATAACGAACGAGACTCAAATATATTAAATAGATGCTTTCAGGATTATGGTGTTGAAGCTTTTATAGCCTTCATTCGCGACCGCAGTAAAATGTGTTAGCGTTTGAATGTGTTTGTAAAAGTGGAGCCGTACCTGTTGGTTTGTCCCATTATAAGGACACTAGCTTCTTAAATGGACAAATTGCGTCTAGCAATAATGAGATTGAGCAATAACAGGTCTGTGATGCCCTTAGATGTCCTGGGCTGCACGCGCGCTACAATGAAAGTATCAACGTGTATTTCCTAGACCGAGAGGTCCGGGTAAACCGCTGAACCACTTTCATGCTTGGGATTGTGAACTGAAACTGTTCACATGAACTTGGAATTCCCAGTAAGTGTGAGTCATTAACTCGCATTGATTACGTCCCTGCCCTTTGTACACACCGCCCGTCGCTACTACCGATTGAATTATTTAGTGAGGTCTCCGGACGTGATCACTGTAACGCTAAGTTAATGTTCTTCTTCTGTTTGCTCGATATATTTTCGGATATGTTGATGTCAAGGGGTTGTTTGAACTAAGACATTCGCAACATAAATTGTATGTATAAAAACATAAGTTATTGAAGAAATTGATATATGCCAATTCATTTTGGTGCATTTTTGATTTCTTTCAATAAAAACAATTTTGACTGTATACAAAACAAAAATAAATTATCACTCTAAGCGGTGGATCACTCGGCTCATGGGTAGATGAAGAACGCAGCAAACTGTGCGTCATCGTTTGAACTGCAGGACACATGAACATCGACATTTTGAACGCATATCGTAGTCCATGCTGTAAGGTACTTCAATTAATTTTAGAGTACTGCTTGGACTGCATATGGTTAAGAGTTGTAAGACTATGCTAAATAAGTTGTTTAAATAATCAATTCAATTTAATGAATTGGGTCTTGAGCACATGTTATATTACTATAGAATTCATAATATAAATAGTCAAGATAGAATAACTCATTGAAAAAATCTTAGTATTTGTTTATTAAAATACTTTTATTTTTTTCAATTAATTAAGGAAGGTCTAGCATACAATTTTTTATGAATAAGAATTGTCTCTTTTATACTGAAGAAAAAATATGATCATACAAAAAAGAAAACATTTTTTCATTAAAATTATTTATTCTATAAAATGTAAACTATAAATTAGTATTTGTTTTATACAACCTCAACTCATATGGGACTAACCCCAGTGTTTGAGAAGTGTTGGGTTTAGATGTTAATTCGCTTCTGATTTTAGTGTAAACGTAAATTCACTTAAGAGCTAGACCGTCATAGAAATCTTAGACTATCTTTTTCTATGCGCTTATCATTGGAAATGCTTGTTTGTCCCTTGCTGAGTGCATTATCAGTTGGGCATTGCCTTTATTATTGATGCACCCCAGCAACGCACATAAGCATTATCACTTACATGCTCTTATCTATCTAAATATATTTATGATAGGCACTTAAATATTTTATGATCTTCATGGTGTAAATTATGTTCATATTTTTATGAACATTCTCCCGGCCGGCAAATGGACTGTTTTCACATTCGGCACTATTAGGAACTGAATCGCTGCGATCCGTTCTTTCTTCATAATTGTTCTTAAAATTATTATAAGATAATGTTCAAAGTAATATAAATGCTAAGGCCTGATAAATAATGGAACGCCACAAGCCTCTTAATTCGATGTTTCGTTCTTTAGGTTATCCACGACCTTCTTTAGATGGTTGATTTCTTCATTATGATTTCCTAGTGGTTTGATGATCTCCTTTTCCGTTGGACTCACTAGTTGGTTTCTTAGTTGTTGTCATTTGTTGCAGTTTTCTTGTATGTGTGTGTATGGTTCTTGGTTGATGTATAGAAATATTAGTCTTGTGGAAGATTTTGAGTTGGTATATTTTTAAATTATATGTCCTTCGATAGAATTTTAGATGTTATGCTGTTTTCCGGCTACTGTTTGTTGTTGTTACACAGTGTTGAAATTATATTATTTATCCATATGATGTATGCGATGCTTGTGATGGTATTATTATTTAAATTGGTTGACGTTATGTTAATGTTGTTGATTGTTTTGTCCTCCGCCGTTGTTGGGTTTTCTGTTATTTGGACGACGTGAACGACTGTTGCGTCGGGGACCTGCTTGTCCACCTTGGCCTTGACCATCGCCATGGTATATTGCGATTGCGACGCTGTTTATCGGCAGCATATTGGCTACCACGTACAGGTTTGCCGAAGAGGTTTGAATCATTTAACGGTACCGGTAACCTTGGTAGCAATAGCTTCCTTTACAGGCGTCGGCTGTCTTTGTTGCTGAGCAGCATCACTTTGTGGCGAGTCTTGAGGCTTTACTTCCATTCTTCCTCCAATGTGAGGATCTGCCGGCGGGATTATATACGCATCTTTGCTAGTAGTCCCAGGCTTCATTGGTATAGTTCCGGAAAGAATCCAGCCCAACTTCGTGTTCTGCCCCACGATCGCTGCATCATGCCGAACTCCTTTTTCAATATCGATTCTTTCTGAATTGTTGAAATTTGGATCGGCCAGATTTACGTTTTTCCATCGTTGAATGTTGTACTGGAAGCTGCTATCCGGATGAGCTGATGCTAATTTCGGCAGGACTAGGGCATAGACATTGATTTTAGTACTGCTAAAAAAAAATCTCGGTCTTATTTCGAGAAATATTTTTGATTTTGCCACTCCCACAATAGTCTCTCCGAGACCTCTTAGCTTCATATCAGTCTTCCTCTTTGGTAGCTGTAGTAGCTGCGCTGCATCCTCCGATACCGACGTTATTTGTGACCCTTGGTCCATTAAAGCCCTTAATGTTATGTAGTCGCCATGTAAAGACCTTACTCGGACTTGGGCTGTAGGCAGAAGAACATTTGCTGCTGTGTTGGTTGTCATCGCCTTAGAGTTGTTTACTTTCTCCAAATGGATCAGAGTGTTATGACTCAATCCTCACTTCTGACATTTGTCATCGACTAGACACCTCTTCTCTTCTCCGTGCTTCAGACACTTTAGGCATAACTGGGCTGACTTCACCCAACTATATCGCTCGTTCGATGATTGACTTGCAAATTTCCTACACGCCACAATGTCGTGACCAATCAACTTGCAAAATCGACATTGCCTCTTCTCCGCCATTACTGATATATCTTGCTGGTCGAATATTTCTGGAATGTATTGTATTCTATCTGCTGCAGCTTCCAATGCTTGATATTGCTGTTCCAGAAAGTCCAGCACGTCTGCAAGTTTTTGAATTTCTTTAGACTTTTTAACATTTTGCTCGTACTGAATAAGTCCTTCTTTGTCCAGTTTCCTTATAATAATCCTGGCTAAAATAGGATCAGCATGGTCTAACGGTATTTCCATCGCCTTCAATGCGTGAACACACTCATTCACGCTATTAAGTAATTTCCTTAAGCTGGATGCCGATTAACTATTTATATTGGGGTGATCCAAAATCTTATCCACTAGTTTCGTGAATAAAATTCTCCTGTTGCTGTATCGCTTTTCCAGCAACTCCCACGCTGCCTTATAATTTGCGTCTGTTATTTGTAGATGCTGCACTAATCGTAAGGCTTCTCCTTTCAAATTAGTTTTCAGGTAATACAACTTTTCCACGTCCGATAGTTGCATATTTCCATCTATCATTTTTTTAAATAGATCGTGAAAGGAACTCCATTCCTCCACATTTCCATTAAAACTTGGAATCTCTATTTTTTCAATTCTACCGCATGAGCTTCTTCTTTTCCGCCACCTTATTTCCCAATTATTACTTGGATTTTCGGGTTCATTTTTTCTTCTACTTCTTCTAATTCTTCATCCACTTCTTCCAGTCCATAGTCCGTGGTTAGTTCTAAGTGCAGCTGCTTGATGTCCTCGAATTGTTTCTCCCACGTAGACTTGACATTCTCCAGAGCATATCTAGAGAATCCAGTAACATCTACTTCCATGGCATCTGAGAGCTTTATAATCCTTCTGCGAAATTGTGGCAGCACTGCATTTTTCGTTCCACTATTTGACTGTGGAGGAATTACGGCACATTCTTTTAACGCAGTCCGATCATCTTCACCCTGATGAGCTTCTTTGCTCATCTTCAACTGCATAAACTGCTGCATTTGTTGTTGCATTTCCAGAATTTGCGCCTGCATTACCATGAACTACTGATGTATCCCTGCACTAGTGAGCTCTGTTACTGTCAGTTTCCCAGCTCTGCTATCTACTGCTTTTCGGGTTCTTCTTTAATTTTCTGCATGAGACCTCTGCATATATCATGCACGCTCAGGAATCGGTCCCATATGTTGTCCTTGAAATATACGTCGTTGTTTGCTCCCAGTTTGTTTAATTTTAGATTATATAATCTCGCCTCGTCCATTTTCGTTTCGAGCGACTTGTACACAGCTTCTAGTGTCGCTTTCCGTACCATCCCGCTTTTCAGATTATCAGAAATCTCAATCATTTCTTTGAGAATCTGATTTTGTACCTTGTACAGAATATGTCTATCTGCCGACATTGTTTTTTTTTGGATTTGTGGCTATTAACTTTGGTTTTGCCTTATTTGGTTTTATTTAGTTTTTTTTTTTAATATTTTGCCTATATTGGTTTTTTTTGCTTGTTGTGTGCCTTTTTTGGCTTTTTATGTGCCTTTTTTATATTTTAATATTTTTTATATTTTTTAATATTTTCTTTTTTTATGTTGACGGTCGCTGCTTCTTTTCTCTCGAAGTACCACTGTTTGAGAAGTGTTGGGATTAGATGTTAATTCGCTTCTGATTTTATTGTAAACGAATATTCAATTAAGAGCTAGACCGTCATAGAAGCCTTAAGCTATCTTATTCTATGCGCTTATCATTGGAAATGCTTGTTTGTCCCTTACTGAGTTCATTATCAGTTGGGCATTGCCTTTATTATTGATGCACCCCAGCAACGCACACACGCATTATCACTTACACGCACTTATCTACCTAAATATATTTATGATAGGCACTTAAATATTTTATTATCTACATAGTGTAAATTATGTTCATATTTTTATGAACACCCTGAATTTAAGCATATTAATGAGGGGAGGAAAAAAGAATAACAAGGATTTCCTTAGTAGCGGCGAGCGAAAAGGAAAGAGTTCAGCACTAAGTCACTTTGTCTTTATGGCAAATGTGAGATGCAGTGTATGGAGTGTTCAATTTCTAGTATGAGAAATTAACGATTTAAGTCCTTCTTAAATGAGGCCATTTACCCATAGAGGGTGCCAGGCCAGTATAACGTTACTGATTACTAGAGAACATTTCCAAAGAGTCGTGTTGCTTGATAGGGCAGCACAAAGTGGGTGGTAAACTCCATCTAAAACTAAATGTAACCATGAGACCGATAGTAAACAAGTACCGTGAGGGAAAGTTGAATAGAGAGTTATAAAGTACGTGAAACTGCA